GGCCCACGCCCTTGGCTAAATTTTATGAACCGTGTATGACGTCTTTTTAATACCTTTGAGAAGAATATAAAACGAAACTGCCTTGTAGGGCCGTCCAAATATCTATTCCCCCGCCCAACTGTCTAACGTAATTTGCGGTTAGACATGTAATTATTGGTTAGCAAGTGTAAATGCAGATTTAATTGTGTTGGAAGTGATACAAAACATTAAATTAGCGAAACTTATATTTAATGAGCTAAATAGAATGAACTCCATTAACATTAACTCTTGTTGCTCAGGCAACTGATGCCTATTGAGGGAAATTCAACCCTATATTGGCGGACTTTAACGAAAAAAGGGAGATTTAGGTTACTGAAGACGCAAAAGTAGGCTATTGTTATAAGTCAAAGGCAAATAGGGCTTCTAAAGATAGTCCTATCGATATTTTTCCTCGTACATAAAGTAAACACCCTGAAGTTTTGAAACCGCAAGTAATTCAGCCAGGCCAGTTAGGTTGCCACTCCTGGAATTGGTTATTAATTTGTTCTGCGACGGGGCAGGGGTTCCTCATAAACATCACGAGTTACGTATTTCGTTTTATTTTATTGTTTAGTCTTATTAGCTTTAGTTTGTTAGGCTTAGTGTAGCATTTCGTTTATTATTTAGTTTGATTAGTTTAGTTTAAACTACGGTGATGTTTATAAGGAACTGCTACCTGCGACTGGTTTGCAGTCATCCAATCAAACTAGAACGGAGTGCAGAGTCACAATTTGGGGGAGGGGGGAGTACTCGAGAGTTTATTTGCTCCACTCTGCCTGCTACCGGCGAATTTTCTTTTAAGGTGCTATTTCTGTGCCCATAGTTGTTTGAAAATAATGTGTGTAACCCCGCTGAATCTACAGTCCTCCTTTGCCCTCCCCTTTTCCCCCCTTATCTCATAACTCACCTTTCGTCCTCTCGCCCACAGTCCCTTCCCGGAGCACCGCAGTTGATTGTTGACAAGAGTACCGCCAGTCTGGAATTTCGAGACGTCTGTTTCACCTACCTAAAGGATGCCGGGTCGCGGAAGTTACTGGCCGACAATCTCTCCTTTAAGGTAAACCTGTCGTTTTCCTCTTTTGTTTATCTTCCCCCCCCCTCCCTTCCCCTTCAACAGTCAATAACTTTGGCCTTCTTTTAAATTCCTGACCAGGGCTGTCCACTAATATGCCTCCCAGTTTTGAGGTAATTCCGCGCAGTCCTAAGATACTCTCCTGTTTCCCTAAGCACACATCTCTTCTAGTACTCTTACACGGGCTCACTTCTGCTCCCGTCTTATCTAACTGGCCTCAAAGATGCTGCCCAAAACCGAGCAGTCTGATGGGGACACAACATCCAATTTTCTCCTACAGAGCGGCTAAAACGTAAGCTCCAGGTACTTCTCTATCCTGGTATTATGTTGAAGCAACTTTTTTAACTTCCAGCTGGTGGAAGCCTATGTCCAGTCTAGGGCGTCAGCTCTGAACTCCACCGCAGGGGGCAGGCGACGACAGAAAATTTCCAGAACCACTTCAGTCAGCATGGCCGAAGAGCTGCTAACGGGGAACTGGAGCGTGAGCTACAAGGCAGAACGGGACGATTACGCCCCGTCTGCCATTGCTGGTGCATCCGAAGAATTCGCTCGACTGGTCTGCGAATTTGGGATTGGCGTCGCTCACAGACCGGGAGC